AGCTCTCCTTCCCATTTTATCCCAGGTAATCCAGCTCTTTTAAGGGTGAAATCCTTTAAAGGGGCCTAGTCTCATACTATGCCTGGTTTATAATTATTATATAACTTATTCATGTTAAGACAAAGCAATAGAAATCCAGTAGCTATCTTGAAAGTGTTTATGTATTCCTGTTTAAGCATGAAAATCTTTTTTTTTAACCAGTGATTAGCAGATTGAAACATGCTTGTACACCTTCGCCCTCTGCTGGCAGTACTTAGTCAAACATCTATCAACCTTTTTCAGCCTCTGAGGATTCAGCTCCCTATTCTATGAATGTTTGATTGCATTCCAAGGCCTACCTGTCTTGTCAAAACTGTTTATAACCAGTAAGAATATATGAATAATTTAACGTACTGAAGGGTAGACCCTTTGTTTACTTTTATTTTATTCCCACGTTCTCACAGTCCGACCACCCTTTATCCAGAGAAGTTCAAAGATGCTCCAAAAAAAGTAGTCAAACCGAAGAAAACTGTAGATTCCTCAGATGAGGAGGAGGAAGACGAAGAAGAATCAGAGGAAGAGGAGTCAGAAGATGAAGCCCCGGCTCGAAGGAGGTAAATCTAAGCAACGATATAAGCCCCAATGGCGTACTGTTATGCCTTTCTGTGTATTGTACAATCTAACTTATCCAATCGCTCTCAGGAAATCCAATAAGAGGCCCCCCCCCAAGGCTCAGCGTCCTCCACCAACCAAGAAATCCCGCAGTGTCAGCAAGTCCAAGGCAAGAGGCAGAGGTCGTCCGCTTGCAAAGACTCCTCCGGCCAAGAAAACTGTGAAATCAGGGAAGAACCCATCAAAGAAGGAGACTGTATCGACGCCTAAAGCTACACCTGTGAAGAGAGGTGCTCCCTCAAGAAAGTCTAAAACACCAGCCGTAAAAAAGCTAAGCAAAAGAGGGTCCAGGAAAGCGGCATCCAGAGAGTCCTCCCCAGATGAGCCCAAAGTGGAAAAGGTGACGGCAAAAAGTGGGTCCAGGCGAACAAAAGCTGAGGAGTCCTACCCCGAGGAGCCTAAAGCCGTAAAGGAGACTTCAAAAAGTGGATCGAAGCGAGCTAAAGTGGAAGAGTCGACCCATGAGGAGCCGGCGGCCAAAAAGCAGGCTACCAAAGGCGGCTCCAAAAAGGAGGCATCTTCTGAGAAGGCCGACCTCCAAAAGAAAACGAAAAGCAGCAAACAGTCGGCCCGGAAGTCCAAGAGAGGAAAATACTAAACCCATGAGCGCCTTCCAGAAACTGGGCTGTGCAGACCGTTCAGAAGTCTGCAGCTGTGTTTCAACGCTCTCTGTTTTCACCCTTCTTTTCTGTTTTAGAGGGCTGTAGTTTTAAAGTTTGTTTCTTTCTACTGTAGAGTAAGGACATGATCGTAACAGTTGCGTTAGCTGTGCATTGAGCGTTTGTTGAAGTACTCTTTTTTTAAAATAATTTCTTAAATTTTATTCTTTTCAAATTCATGTGTAGAAGAGCTTGGTTAGTGTTGCTGTTAAAGCTGCCAGCTTGAGGAAAGCATAGCGAAATTCACCAAACTGTAACTAGAACAATGTCTTGACTTCTGTTTGTACGTGTTCATCCACTCAGCGCTGGCGGCTCACATTCCTAATCCCAACAAAAGAGAGTTCAGTGTTTTTTCAAAGTGGGGGGGGGGTGTCTTTTTTTTATTATTATTATTAATTTTTAAAAGAGTTTAAAGACATTAAGTGGTCCATGTGCTGCTTTATAAAATGAAAGAAATTAAGACTGTTGTCCTGTGTCGTAGGACTCCAATCCTTTGGAATCTTATCCATATTCCTAAACCTTTATATATTTTCCTTTTGGGGAGGGGTTATGTTCAGGCAGCATCCATGTTGGTTTAATTGGGAAGACAATATTTAGTATTGAAGTTTATCTGTTAACCGCTGTTACTTGGTTCCAAATGATAAAAAATGTGTTGTAAGAAATTGGGGAATTCAGCTCATAAGAACCCTGCATGCATGTATTGTTATGCTTTTTTTCCAAGTCATTAATAAAATGGCTATATTTGTAAACTGTCTGTTTCTTATTATAACTGTTAACTTTGAAATATTTTTGCTCTATTTTTTAGTTTTTGTTCTTTTAGCAGAAATCCCTAAAAGATATCTTCAAATTAGTGACCTGTAGTGTCTTTAGGTGGTTTTTAGTTGCAATGTTCTTCTTTTCCTTCATAAATTTTTCATTAATTTATTTTTTTTTTGTCATAACTCAGTGTATATATCTAAAGTTGGGTTCTGGGCAAATTAGAGTTGTGCTGGTTTTGAAGTTGTTGGATGTTAAAGCAGATTTTCCCCAATGGAATAAGGAAAGTATGCATCAAAATTTGGTGCAGAGATGATTCAAAAATCTTTTCATGAACTAAATAAGAATAAAATAAAAGCAGTTGGTGCATATAAAATCACAAATTATTACTACCTCAGTTATCAATCAAAAGCAGTTCTAAACAAATTGATTTTTAACTTGAGAGAAATCAGGATTTCAGCCACTCTTCAATGTTTAAGTTTATTACAGATATTTAACAGATATTTGCATAAAAAGTATTATAGGCCAGTGCTTTTGAACAGCATTTTTCTAGAACTACATGATCAAAACTAAGCTTCTCTTTCCCTGACAGTTTTTAAGACTGGTTGCTCTTTTCTTCCATTATGAAAGTAAAAATATATATATTTTTTTAAAAGAAGGAGAAAACTAAATTGTGTACTGTTAGACTGTGGATAAATCAATTGCACATTTCTATTTGATTACAAAATAACCTCTTGTTGGCATCAGAATAGCATTTGGTTTTGCAAGAATATATTACTTAGCAAGAAACTAAATTTGAGGTTTTGATGAGCTACATAGCATAACATGTCTTCAGAGAACAGATTTGTGTCTGTACTTGTCCTGTTGGACCTCAGAGCAGCATTTGATACACACTGCTAGAAGGGCTAGAAGGTGCTGTTGAGTTAAAAGAAGCAGCAGTGGGCTGGCCTAAATCATATAAGTCTGATGGATTCCAGTTTATTCATGTAAACGTTATTTCTTTAAACTCCAGGGTTAGTTGTGAGGTACCACAGGGGTCAGTGTTTGTGGCAATTATTTTTGCTTTATTTGTTCCTAAATCTTGATTAGGTTCTTCAAGACGTAAAAACATATAATTGAAATGCTGTTTTCAAATTAAAAAAACAGACATTGTCATCTAAGGATCAAAGACTGAAAGGGGTGTCTTGGTCTGTTCATCTGAATGGCATTAAATCTGCCTTTGTTAATAAGTTAAAGCACCTTGGTCTTCTTTTTTAACATGGCATAGTGTTATGTTACAGAACATGTTTCTAGGATTTGCTTCTGCTTTCAGGTATTGCCAGAATTTAAAGAATATATATATTATATTTTTGTTTTAATGCTCCTTTTCTGCAAAACCACATATCACACTACAAAATCTAAGGGTTAGGGTTATAATATTAGGCTTAAAACTCTTTGTTGCAACTTAAATTATCCTTAACCATGTCTGGCAATGTGCTGCTATAGGCTTAAGCTGCTGGAAGACTAGTCTTCACTTTTGAAATATTTAGACTATTCAGTTTCAGCTTTATCTTCTTTTGTTCTCATTCAGGGACCTGTAGTTCCATTCAGATTGGACTCTTTCTTGGAGAGGGACATGGGATGAGAAACTTCTTCCATATTTTGGCCATTGGTCGAGTTTTTAGGACTAACTGCCTCACAGATTAGACTTAGACATAGACAAATTTTATGTCATTTTGTATGTTTTTTTTGGGACTAAAACTGACATGAAATTTCGTTTAGTACAGCTTTTCAGACAGTAAATTAACATTTTTGTTCCATAAAGTGCAGCAGTGATCAAATGTAAAACAGAAAAAACATGGTGCAAAAAATGCATTAATATGGAAGTTCAGAGCAATAATACATATGGTGCAAATATGCAGTGGTTAGGTGTTATCAGTGTGATGCCATGGAAGAGGATTAGGGCCACTGAAAATACAAAAAAAGTTAACTGTTTTTTAAATTTTACTTCAGTATAATATGAGGGAAAAAAAGTCAGAATTCTGACTTTTCTTCTCAGATTTCTGACTTTTTTTCTCAGAATTTTGGATCTTAATGTAGATGGGCACCATGAAGGAAGTGATGTGGGAGCACCCAGCTTTACTGACTAAGATGTGAGTTGTTTGAGAGAGCCAGTAACACATTGGTGGAAAATTAACTTTTGCCCGTGCCTGAGGGGTCCCCAGTGATGCTGTTTCATTAATGGAAGAGCAGAAGGTGATTAAAACAAGAGAGCTAAACAAAAGAGCTAGTCTATAACACAGACATGGCTATGGCTTGATGCTAACATTTTTGTTAGCTGTCAGAATTCAGTCAGATTTCTAAGATTAAAGTCAGAATTCTGCGAAAAGTCAGAATTCTTAGATTAAAATCAGAATTCTGCGAAAAAAAGTCAGAATTCTTAAAAAAAAAAAAGAATTCAAGTTAGAGTTCTTAGAAAAAATAATTCTTAGAAAAAAGTTAGAATTCTAAGAAAAAAATAATTCTTAGAAAAAAATTCTTAGAAAAAATAATTCAAGTTAGAATTCTTAGAAAAAAGTTAGAATTCTGAGATAAAAGTCAGAATTCTTTGGAAAAAAAAAGAAAAAAGTCATAATTCAGACTTTTTCCCATATTAAACTGAAATAATATTTAAAAATCAGTAGGCCTAAACTTTTTTTTTATTTTTTTCCCTGGCCCCAATCCTCTTCCGTAGTGATGCAGAGATAAATCCTTCAGTTTTTTTTTTTTATTTTTATTGTGTGTAAATTCTTAGGGGATGGTTGTTGTCACTAGGGGGCGCTGCTAATCTTTGAAAATTAGGCAAACTTAAAAGTCAAAAATGAAAAGAAAATAAAAAAGGCCCACATTGTAAGAACACGAGAAGCTTTGTTCGTAATAAGCTTCTTTTTGTTGTTTGCATTGTTTTTGCCTGTTCATAATTGATCATATTTAACCAGAGGCTGTTTCTACAGAGCAGGGCTTTTTATTGTAATTTATTCACTGCGGTGTTGAGCAATAAGGAGGAATGTGTGCAGAGCTGGGAAAGAATGCCTGGGAAGAAACAGCTGGGCGGGGGGTTAACCCAGCGTCCTGTTCCGCTGTCTTCCAGATCTCTGGGAGAAGAAGGGTTCATATTGGCCTCCCTGCGCAGAGACAGAGCCCCGCCTCAGTCTGACTGCTGCACACCTGGACAGGTAAAGGTGGAGCGGACACAGGAGAACACAGCTCCTGACTTGGAACAGTAAGCTTTAAACCAGCCTATTTCTTCTTGTTTCTGAGTTTCAAGTCCAGACTTACCTGTTAACGGTGAGAAAACAGATAGTTTTCTTAACTATCAGGTCATTTAATTTGGATTTACTCGGTAAAACCAAAAATCTGCAGAGATTAAAATGTGTTTAAGAAGCGAGCTGAACGCAGTGGCCTTAATTCTCTGTTGGATTATTCAAATCTCTTTAAAAAAATGCCCCGTTATCAAGATTTTATGCGCTGACTTTAAACAAGATGAATAAGTTTTTCTTATATCTTTTTTAATTTATTAAATAGACGAGGCTGGTTGTTTGTTAAAACGGGCAGTATGGGAGAGGCACCGACCAGAGAGGAGGGCACAGTCACTCGCTCTGCAGAGGTATGGACGCACACACTGGACAAAAAATAAGGAAATAGTCATTTTTTCTTTTTAATAAAAGTGCATTTATTCTTGAATTGAGAAGGTAAAAGAGACATTTTGCCAATGGACGAAATAAGTTTACATTTAAAAGAAGAAAACGCAATTGCATTGTCTTATTTCATGTGCATTTTATCTAAATATCTTATTTTAAGAGTAAAATTCTCATTCCATTGGCAAATCATTTCATTTACCTAATCAAAATAAGGGTAAATACACTTAATTTAAGAAATTTCTACTTATTTCTAGATAGTTTTTCCAGTGCTTGTATCATGTTTATATTTCAACCATTGCATGTTTTCTCAAACTTCTCTTTGGTGAAGTATGTTGGCTCATTTGTTGTGGATGACTGCTGTTTGGACGATCAGATAAATCAGCTGCACACACAGCTCAAGCACTTAAAGGTGAGTCTTTTGCTGAGATTTGAGTCTTGGTTGTGAAATGAGCTCTGATGGAAAGCTTGTTTTCAAACAGACATGCAAGCGAAGGAGGCCAGTAACCCTGAAGTTCTCCCTCAAAGGGGTAAAAATGTATGATGAGGATGAAGTGGTAAGTCATTCATATTTATTAAAAACATCCAACATGCTCTAACCTGCTTTAGACACAGATTTTTTTTTCTCCATATAGCTCTCAGCTTAATTTTTTTTTTTTATTGCAGGGCTGCAGCATTTTAGGGCCCAGCCTTAAAGTTTTATATATAATTTCAAATAAAGTTGCTTTTATGTATCTGTTTGTCTGACTTTTCTTTCCTCTTTCAAAGACCCTCCTTATGGCTCATGCTTTGAGAAGAGTCTCTCTGTCCACCGCCCGCCCAGTTGACTCCCAGTTTGCCTTCGTCTCCCATAACCCAGGAAGCACCGATGCTCAACTTTACTGCCATGTTTTTAAAGCAAGGCATGCCAGAGCGGTAAGGAATCTCCTTGCAGACACTAATTCAATAAAAAGAAAAAAAAAAAAAGCCAGGGGACTTTTTAAAAGTTGTTGTGTGGATTCCCTGAACGGACAAAAATATAGTGCATACATATTTTGGGAACATTTTAACACAAACTATTACATTTAAGCCTTTTCTTATCAAATGTGTAGAGTTTTCTATCTAAGGAAAACCAGTTGATTGCATCGACTCATTGACTCAAAATTGGATATGGAATAGACTTAAACCAAAGGCTAAAAAGATGGCTTCCAGCTACTCGCAGTGCTTTGTGTTAAGTGCATTTGCATAGAGCTGGAGATGGATGTCAACTTTTAACGAACATGAGACCATGCATGTAGACTGTTAGTAGCGAATGTGCATATGACATGATAACCTCAGATAAGGTCATTTTGCATAGGAAATGACACTGTAGGGGTGTAACCCATAATTTTGAAAAGAACACGTTGCGTGAGACATGTTTGAAGTCTGTAGTTTTTTTGTTTGTTTGTTTTCATGGAGAAACGGAAAAAGTTCGAATAACTTGCTTTGTTTCTGTAAAGCATTTGTGTGTCATAATGAAGAGGACCAGATACTGATCAACTCTATGAAAAGATTCATAGTGTTTTTGTTTTCTTTGGTTAATTTTTCAGAATTAACTGTCGATTAGTTAAAACCAACTTTAGCATCAGAGGTTTACACACGTCTGCCTCGTCTGTTTTTTTTCCTGGACGGGGACACTTTTTACAGACACCTTTTGTAATCCCAGTCGGCCTCAGCAGATGGCCGCTCACACTGAGCCTGGTTCTGCTAGAGGTTTCTTCCTGTTAAAATGGAGTTTTTTCTCTCCACTATCGCTACAAGCATGCTTAGTGTGAGGGATTGCCTTTGTGTCAGTGCAGTCAACTGGTTTTCAGTATAACTGGTTTTCCTTAGATAGAAAACTATGAATCAATTTGACTGTATGATCTGGTGAACTGTAAAGTCACTTTGAGATGACATGCGTTGTGAATTGGCGCTATAGAAATAAACTGAATTGAATTGAACTGGAGGGGAAAGCCCATAAGATGTCACAGCTTTATAAGCTCTTAGTGTTCAATTCACAAGAGTTGAGTTCATTTGGGTCCTACATTTGGATGTATTTAATGCCAGACCTTATGCATTCCTCTGCCTTATGTGATCCAATCGGAAAGATAAATAAATGGAAGAAGAAAGCAGGAAGAGAACTCTGGACCTCCAACGGTTTTGTTTATAAACACCATAAAATGTCCAGCTTTCATTCCATTTAGGAAGTAGGCCGCTTCTGTTTTGTAGAAACCACTTTGTTTTAGTGAAAAGCAAAATAAAAAAGATCTTGCAAAGATGCTAAGAGATCATCATCCTTGATTAAATAATTCTGTTACCAACATGAGGTGAAACGCCCCTCAGAGAGGAAGAAGCCACTACTCTGAAAGGAATATAGAAATTTCTTTTAAGTGTTTGTAAATACTCAGAGGGGTGAAAGACTCAAAATCCTGGAGATTCAACCTGTGGGCTAGTGAAAAAAAAAATCAAAGTATTTCAGCAAAATAGAAGCAGGAAAGGGAGAGAAGCATGCTTACTGTGAAGCACATTATTCAGACAGCAGAATAATCATTTGAATTGATTTATTATTTTGTCAAAAAAAGAACATATATTTGCTCTAGACATCACTGTTAAATTATGTATTCATTCTGTCATTTTAATTTAACCTTTCAGATAAAATGATCAACTTTTCCTTATGACTATAAATAACTATTAAAATAATTTTTTTAATGAAAATTTTTATACCTACATTTAAGTAATTTATCCTTGAAGCAGATGTTACAATAATTTGATCTACATATGTCTGAGACAACCAGCCACCCCCAGTTTCTGACATTAAACCACATGCAGTGTGTGGTAATTAGCCCCTCCACAGATATTTCCACATTGTTTATAGCTTTGAATAATCCTACTTTCTCCTGAAACCCCCTCCAGGTTAGTTTCACAGGTTGGGAAATGCTACACAATGGTATGTTGAAACCACCTTATGACATGTTGGAGCACCAAAGGGAAAGCTGAGAAATGAGACGTGTCTAAAGAACAACATCCTGGTAACGGCAGAGCTCCCCTCCTTCTGTGTTCCAGGCCCAGTTCCTGAACCTGCTGCTCTGCCGATGTTTCCAGCTGTCTTATCTGGAAAAGCATCCAGAAGAGGCACAGGAACATTGCACCGGGTCATTGCCTCGGCGTAACCCCTCGCTGCTAAACCACGGCTTCCCTCTTAGTGTCAGTGCCCTGGTTTCCTTCAGAAGAGCTCCTTTTCGAGGGTTGCTGTTAAGCACAAAGGTTTGAATCCTCACCTCTGCCAAACATTTAGATCATCTCTGAATATCTGTTATTCACTTGAGCACATATTTCTGTATCGTTCTAAACACATTTTTTAAAAATCTAAATCGATTTTGAATTAAATACCTTATTTTCCAGACTATAGAACGCACCTCACTATAAGCCGCACAGTGGCGACTCCATAGGGGGGCCAGATGGGGCCACTAATAATCTTGGGGTGGGTTTGAATCTACTATTGTGGTAAACCTGCCTGTAGATATCATAAAAACTTAAGTAAACACCTACTTATATCTTGGTTTATTGTGTGATTTTTATTTTTGACGTTGCTGGCTGTGCATAATGGGATGAAATAATAAACTCATGCTACTACAATTTACACTGGCGAGTGTAAATTTAAGTTTTTGAAAAAAAACAAAAAAAACTGTACTGAAGCAGTTTAACGAAGAAAACGTAAAAAGCATAAAAATCGTCTCACAAAAGTCATAAAACATTTTTACAGATGTGAATTAGTATTCTTTAGTGACTTAAAGATAGAAATAAGTAGTTTTGGTACCATAATTACATTATTTATGGACAACCGGATGTATATTTATTCCACCTCTTAGCAACATTGATCAGACTGTGGGGGAAAAAAGTAGCGGCTTATAGTCCGGAAAATACGGTAAACCTGGATTATGCAACCATTAATGTTAAAGAAGAGACCACATGCCCTAATACCGGACCACATGCACTGATATGATGTTTTGTCATTTTTAGAAATCTAAGAAGTCCTCCAATGATCATCTCGAGAGCCAAGATGATGTTTTTTCCTCCTCCATTCCCTCACTGATGCGCAGGAAAGTCATCCGCAACAAAGGTCTACGGTCTGGTGCTTACCGCTCCTTCACTTTCACACCGCACAAACAGCGCAACATTCAGGAGCAGCTGAGTGCATCACAAGGTGGGCCAAGAGTTCACAGAGCGCTATCAAGAGTCAAAGAAATGATTAGGTAAAGCAAACCCTTTGGTGTGTTGTCCAGGGCTGTTGCTCACTGTCATGGTGTGGATTTTGGAGTCTCACATGGGCTAAATGTTTCCTCCCAGCCTGTCACCGTTTAATTCACTTTCACCAATATCACTGCGAGGGATGGACGCACGCTGGGTTCCAACTCTAAACAAAACACATCGAGTTATGCTTTTTTTTTTTTTTTTTTCTATTTAAAACAGGAGAGAGTCAAGACAAGGTGCCGGCGAAGAGATCCCGAACTCCAAGCTTAGCCGAAACAGAAGAGGCGTTGGCTCAGGCAGTGTGGTGTTGGGCTGGTCTCGCCACGTAAGTCTATCAAAGTTCTTAAGTTTCCTACCTTTTCATATTTCTTAATATTATTGCTCCTATTTTATTTTATTTTTTCTCCCTGGGGTTACAGTGACAGCTGCTACTCCCTCCTAGCAGATGACGTTCTAGGATCATACCTTCTGTGCCCACATCCTAGAAAACCTAAATGTGGTTCTCTTATCATTCGCTTCCGCTCTGGTCTGATCACCCACCTTATAGAAAACACTCGGAAAGGGAAGTTCTTGTTGGAGGTAATCGTCATAACACATGGTCGATGTGCTTGTTTTTCAACAAGCTGTAATATTAAACATGCACAGTCATGTCCTGCTGAATAAACTATGGAAAATTGACCTGCTGGGTTTAGTGCCATGAAAATGGATTTGATCTCTTATAGATTTTTATATATATATATATATATATATATATATATATATATATAAATCTAAAAAATTGTGTTTTAATTGTGTTTTAGTTAAGACCACACCAACCGAGACCAAAGAGGGACGAGACCTTGTCTCTGTCTTGGCCCCCCTTGGTCTCGGTTGGTGTGATTTTAACTACAACACTACAACAAAATATTTTTTATATCAGAAAAAAAATGGGTTTTTGAAAAATATCTATTTCTAAATGTTGATTTCAATCATTTAGCGCCTGGGCCTATGTGGTAAAATAACTCCCCTCTAGTCCTAAGAACCGGTTTGACCACTTTTCACAGAAACCGCCATGGAAGGTTTGCCATAACTGGCACCAGGCTCTTTATGTCTCACTGAAGGAATTTTACCACTCCCAAACCTCTATCTTGCTTTATTCATTTATTTATTTATTTTTAGCTGTTCCTCTGGAGAATATTCTAGATTTAGCAGTGATGCTTGATTAACATTTTAATCTGGATTAATGGGCTAGAGCAGACATTTCTTGAGGAAGCTTAGGTCCTTTACTTTTCAAACTAACCTAGAGAAGCTGGACAAGCTAATAAAGAACAATGGTTCTGTTCTGGGGACTGCTCTGGAGCCCGTGCAGATTTCATAAATCTGAGCATCTTTTTTTGTGACTGTAATTCAACAACAATGCCCATAAGCTCCAGGTGTAAGCAAAAAAGTTTATTTTTAGACTGAATTCTGCAGACTCTGTACATCTCTGTGAACATTACTGCAGGCATTTTAGAAAGAACCATTTCAATTTTGTTGCAAAAAGCTTGTAAAGGCTTTAGATAAACATAAAAAATAATGATGCCAGGGGTTTTTAATCCTACTGATAATTTTGAGTGCATTTTTTTTTTTTTTTTGCAGAAATGCAAGACAGAATTCAACTCCATTGCTGAGCTCATTGAATACTACTCTGTGACCCCAGATGAGCTGCCTTGTCCACTGAGCTGTGCAAGAGTGAACCACTGCTATGAGTGGGAGGAAAATGCTAACACACAAAAGGCTATAAAGCAAATCAAAAACTCCACCAAAGCCAGATTTAAAAGTACCCACTGAAGGGAGCATGTCTAAACTACGAGACCTGAGTTGCCAACATCTGAGGATACTGATTAAGAGACACTCTTTTCACTCTTTTGCACATTTTTTTTATTTTTTTTTTACATTTAAATCACGTTTCTCACTGGAAAAACCGTGCACCTATAATCAGTGTTGGCAATTTTCATATGCTCTTATGCACCAAATTAATCAGGGTACCTATTATTCAAAGAAGTAATATTAATTGCTTAAAGCTTTTATGTAAAGTCAGTTTTTTCAGTATTTTTTTACATGCCTGTAAGGCATTCCAAGTTTAAATGTTCTTAGATATCAAAGTTTTAAGCATGGACTTTATAGCAGGGTCTTAACTTTTCCTTTTTTTTTAAAGTTTCCTTGATCCTCCAAGGATTTACCTCAGTGAATAACCATGTTTTACTCTGATCGTTTTTGTCTTGTCTTCATATTGCTGTGTCTGCTATTATATGCTATGTTGCTTGTTATTTTCATTCTATTTGCTAATGTGTACAGTTAAATGTAACTAATTTTAATCCAAACCAACATTCGACTGAATGTTTACGGGGATAAAGTTTCATCACTTCTAATGAGCTGTTTCCATGAACCGTCCACATACAGTTTGTTTTTTTTATGCCCATTTTACAATAAATCTATTATCATTCCACTAAATGTGTCTTATTGTTTACAGCTCTGCCCTTAGCCTTGACTCACAAGAAAGTTTACATTTTGACCCAGCATTGTTGTTTTATTTATATATATATATATATATATATATTTACAAATTTATTAGTAATATGTACGGTAATCTTTTTCCTTTGGGAAACAAATGATAAAAGATTATTTAACCCCCATTTCAATGTGCTGGTATCAAGGGTGTAGCTTTTGGATGAAAGTTGGTGGGGACACTCGGGTAGAGGCTCATGGACCTACAGTTACACTTTCATTAGGCTAATTTTCCAAAAATTAGCTCAAACATATATTTATTGAATGTTTTCCTATTTTTGAGAACACAAGACCACAACACGTTGATATTTATAGATGTTAGAGAGATGTCTTTTAGTCAAAAAACATCAATGCATGAAAAAAATAAGAGCCGATTCCAATGCCATAATCGATATATCATGCATCCCTAGAAGAACAATTTCATTCCATCCTGAAAAAAAGGATATGCTGCATTTTAAATATAGAATTGCATATTTTCTTGTTAACTTTGTGGTAAACTTGGAGATATCTTTTATTGCCTGTTGCATATCCCAGTAAATCTGTTTCAACATTAAATCTGCAGCTCTCCCTACCTCTTTCTGTGCTCTGTTTTAAAAAGATTTATGCACCTATTTACCGTTATAATGATGCCAGAATCTAAATTTCAAGACATGTAGAAGCTCTGCAGTCTGATTCTGTCTGTACAATAAGAAAACATGTTAATTTTTTTAACTAATAAAGCAGAACAAACTTTTCTCTAGCTTCTTGCATTATAATACCAACTTGTTTAAAGTTACAATCTGTTTTCATTTTTAGCTGACAAATATTTAATTTAAATGATGATAAAAATAATGAATAATAATAATTAAAAAAAAACCCTGCCTGCTCATGCTCTTCTAAACCAGACCAAAATCTATATCTACTAAACATAGTGAGTGGTGTTTCTCTCTGTTTTTACCTTTAATAATGAACTTGTTAACTGCAGTAGAGAACTGAGCAACTCTAAAGGTAATTGGATTATTTCAGAAATATGAATTCTACAAACTAAATGCAACAATGTTCTCTTTTTAGAACTAAAAAAATTTTTTAAAGCAGGAATTTACCTGTCCTTTGAATAAAAAGTCTTTGCCAGTAAAAGTGTTTATTTTATTCACTGGATGCAGAAGTTTAAACATTTGGCACAAATCATTAAAGTTTTCACACACTTACACAGAAATTGTCAAATGTTTTGTTTTGTTTTTAGGGTCTAAACTTTTCACATGTTTCAAAGTACATTTGAGTTCCTAATTACTCCAGAGTTTATTCTTCCTTTTTCTTTTGTATTATATTAAATTTACAATTTAACCTACATAGGTGCTTAGTGTACTTTCAACCCTTCTAAAGAAACGTCAGACAGGTCTATCTCCAGCTGTGAGTTGCACCATTTTTTGGTTTTAATTTACATTTCATCTCTGGGAAGAAGTTTCTTCAGTTGTTGATTCTAAAGTGATTCTTAGGAAAGGAAAATTGGGATTTGGGTAAAAAAAAAAAAAAAATCTAAACTTGGTATCCGGAAAGCCATTTTTTTCGTCAGAAATGATAAACTGGATTTCAAGTGGGCTCCTTAAAGGAAAATAAACTAACTGAAAAAAAATATATATTATGTTAGAACTGTAAATATACAGTCATTTTTTTATTACTATATTTTTTTATGTATTTATTACTGTTTTCAAGGCTGCACTTTAAAAAAATAAAAATTTTCTAGAGCTGTTTTAAACCAAATTTATTTTTGTTTGCACTTGTATACCAAATGACAAAATAAATCTAAGTTAATCTACCGTTTGTCTGTTTTTTTTCTTTCTCTCCAAGATGGCCCCCCCTTTCAGCCGCTTTGAGTGGCCCTGTGCGGTTGCTAGGTAACGATAGGACGCTAATAGAGAGGAAGCACAGAGAAGGAGAACCTGAATCTACAGGTCAGCTGGTTGATAAAGGTATATTTTCTTGCTTATGTGATAATCTCTATATCAGGAGGGAATTAACTTCAGTCTGAAAAGCAGTCATTTTGTGGATGTTGCAGCTTTTAGGTAGAGATTCATAAGAACTTAGTGTTTTTCTTCCTTAGTAAACATGGACTGTTTGTAGCTGTGCTGTCAGCTGCTGTTTGGTGGCTGTTAAGCCATGAGCTCAGAGTGTGTGAAGGTGGTGGTGCGGTGCAGGCCCCTGAATGAAAGGGAGAAGGCTCTCAGCTCTAAGATGGTGGTGTCTATGGATGTGCAGCGGTGCCAGTGCTTCATTAAAAAGCCCGGAGCAGCGGATGAGCCACCTAAACAGTTCACTTTTGATGGGACCTACTTCATTGATCAGACTACCGAACAGCTGTACAACGAGATTGCATATCCTCTGATAGAGGTAAACAGCTGGATACAAGTGAATGATAAGTAACAGCCTTATGCAGGTCACACGCTTGTTACCTGATACTGAGTCACCACATATGTTGAAGTCATGACCGTTTTTGTCTTTTAACGCTGATGCATTAACACAGGGTGTTACTGAGGGATACAATGGCACTATTTTTGCCTATGGGCAAACTGGAAGCGGCAAGTCTTTCACCATGCAGGGGGTGTCTGAGCCTGCAGCCCAGAGAGGTGTCATACCACGAGCTTTTGAACACATCTTTGAGAGCATTCAGGTAAGTTGGAGAGCCTCAGATGTCTTTCTAGCCATTAATGTAGGTATGTATACAGCACAATTAGTTATTGTCCAGGCTTGCCTTACCTGTGTTTGCTTTGGAAAAGACAACAATGCTTCTGATTTGTTGCACGGCAGTGTGCTGAAGGCACAAAATTCCTGGTGAGGGGCTCTTACCTGGAGATTTACAATGAAGACATAAGAGATCTGTTGGGAAGCGACACCAAACAGAGGCTTGAGGTTAGTCTTTGTTCTTTCCACAAATTAGGAAACATCTCAAACTTCTATTTTGACTTTATTATGACTCACAGTTGTGCATGTTTACATACCTTTCCATCAAGGACAGGAAAAAATCTGTTGGCAGTAAAACAATTTGAAATAGAAGAAAGTAATAACGAATATGACTAATTAAATGTGGTAGTTCTGCTATAGCATTGAATTATATACAGTATGTACAGTATGTATATATATATATATATATATATATAAATTGCTACTGATTAATATATATGTCAGGTTTTTCTTTAAACACACCATCTGTTTAACGAATGAAATTAAAAACTTTTTAAACTTTTTTTGTAAAATGAGCTTTGAAGTACAAAAAAAATTGTTTTTTGTTTTTATATAGTGTGTTTTTTTGAAAATTACATTTTTGTTTTTTTAGCTGTTAAACAAATCGTAATATTCATCTGAATAACTGAGAAAAAAAAACTTTGTATTTTTATATACACACANATATATATATATATATATATATATATATATATAAATTGCTACTGATAAATATATATGTCAGGTATTTCTTTAAACACACCATCTGTTTAACGAATGAAATTAAAAACTTTTTAAACATTTTTGTAAAATGAGCTTTGAAGTACAAAAAAAATAGTTTTTTGTTTTTATATAGTGTGTATATATTTTTTTGAAAATTACATTTTTGTTTTTTTAGCTGTTAAACAAATCGTAATATTCATCTGAATAACTGAGAAAAAAAAAAACTTTGTATTTTTATATACACACATATATATATATATATATATATATATATATATATATATTGCTACTGAATATGTCAGGTTTTTCTTTAAACACACCACCTGTTTAACAAATGAAATTAAAATATTTTTTAAACATTTTTTGTAAAATGAGTTTTGAAATAGAAAAAAAAATAGTCTTTTGTTTTTATATAGTGTATTTTGCATGTGCATTTTATCTAAAATTACATTTTTGTTTCTTTTAGCTGTTAAACAAATCGCAATATTCATCAACTGAATTTTTTTTTTAAACTTTGTGGAAAATGAAGCCATATAATAAAACAATCTAAAACCAATGACTTTTTACAGATTCTTATTTAGTGATATGCACTTTAAACTCTATTTAAAACCAATTTCCTTAACTGTGTCTCACATTTTCTCCACAATACTTACTGCACATGTTGCCATAGTAACATAAAAGCTTACTTATGTAATTGCTTTAAGGTCAAGCTGGTTTAGCTGTCTAAAGCAGTTTTTATTTGCTGTGTATTTTTTTTAATGCCTAGCTGAAAGAGCACCCGGAGCGCGGGGTTTATGTGCGGGACCTGACCACACACACACTGCACAGCGTAGGAGAGTGTGAAAGAATCATGGAGCAAGGCTGGAGGAATCGTGCCGTAGGCTGCACGTTGATGAACAAAGACTCCTCCCGGTCCCACTCCATCTTCACCATCCACTTGGAGATCTGCAACACAGGCAAACATTGACAGAAAGACTTTGACTAGACCCTGTTTAGACAGATTTTTTCTGTTCTTTGGCATAATGATAGTCTCATAATCTGTTGATAGACCAGTCAATTTGAATTCTGTTTATTGTGCACTGATAGATTAGAAAGATTATTTGTTTTTTTTGTTTTTCTGTTTCTACCAAACACATAGATGCAGCCGGCAAGGACCATATACGAGCTGGAAAACTTAACCTAGTAGATCTTGCAGGAAGTGAGCGTCAGTCTAAAACCGGTGCCACTGGAGAGCGACTCCGTGAAGCCACAAAGATCAATCTGTCCCTCTCAGCTCTGGGTAATGTCATCTCTGCCCTGGTCTACGGCCGCTCCAAATACATCCCCTACCGTGACTCCAAGCTGACAAGACTGCTGCAGGATTCTCTGGGAGGAAACACACGCACCTTGATGATCGCCTGTCTCTCACCTGCTGATAACAACTATGAGGAGAGCCTGAGCACCCTGCGCTATGCGAACCGGGCCAAGAGTATTCAGAACAGACCTCGAATCAACGAGGACCCCAAGGATGCTCTGCTCAGGGAGTATCAGGAGGAGATCAAGAAGTTACGGGCCCTCATCTCAGGCCAGCTGGGCACCTCTGACCTGTCATGTAAGGAATCTGATCTGGGAATAGATCTTCATAGACCTGCAGTGACTAGAGAAAAATTGGTTTTATCACAGATATCTCTTAAAATGTTTATTTTTTTTTATCACCATTTCATTTTCTAGATTTTTATATTACAATATCAACCAAAATTATTCGACTTTATACAAATTATGATTTTGTCATCTGGAAACATCATCTGCATCATCTTTAAATGCCATCAAAGTTTGTATCTATATGTGATTAAGAAACAAAAACAGATTATCCCTGTATGAAGCATTCTTCTTTTTTAAAGCACTATTCTTATATTTTAAAAGTTTTTCATTGAGAAACAAATCAGAATGAAGAAAATAGAAGCAGTTTGTTTTCATCTCCCTTTTCCTTTTGAAATTTCTTCAGCTCTTCTGTCTGGTCAGCCCACGATTGCTCTTTCAAGGCTGCAGCCAAGCAATAATGAAGCAAAGAAGGAGAAGATTAAAGAGGCAAAGACACCATTCCCACACTAATATATCAATGTACACCGAAGCAGCCATTGTATAAGAAGCAGTTGATTGATGGGTCTTATTCCACTGTCTCCACAGGAGTACGAAGAAAAGCTGGCAAAGTTGCAGGCTGAGTACAATGCTGAGCAGGAGTCCAAAGCAAAGCTGCAGGCAGACATTGCTGCTCTGCAGCGTTCATATGAATCAAAGTTGTCTAATTTGGAGAGGGCCCAGACCAGCAGGGGGAGCTGTGACAATAAGAATGGTAAAAGGAGAAAATCTTTCTAATCTTAAAACAATGAATCATCATGATATGGTCATGATTTTGACTCCATATAGTATCCCTGTGGCTACATTTATGTTTAATAATGTTTCCAACATCAGTGAGCTCCAGATGTGTTGATGAAGATGGGGGTAGAAACCACAGCCTAAGTCCATCTACTACTTCAAAAGAGGTATAATAATTTCAATATTACCAACCGACGAACCACAGAACAATTTCATTCTGAGATCAATGAATCCGGTTGCTTCTCTGTCACCCGGCAGCCTGATGTGTCTTCTGCTGCAGTCGGCGTCTGGAAAGATCCCAGAAGAAACGAGCTTGTGGATTCAGCAGATACTAACTCAAAAGAGTCTTTTGATCAGAAACATGTTCTGGAGAGGTTTGTATCAGTGATTCACCAAAGCACAATTTTTCCCAAAAAAAAACAAACTAAACTTTTATTTTCTGATATGTTAATTATTGTGAATTTGATTTACATTGTGCTGATATCTTGTTTTAGGATGAATATAAATACTTGTAAACAACCCCCTTATATCTGCAGAGTGCCCTTCTAAGCAGTCCGTAACCCCTAAGCCTTTTCACTTCCTGTACGGTCACATGCAATTCAATACGATTGCCACTTATCCTTGGCTTGCCCGTGTTTGAGTATTTGTTTTTATTTGCTTTTACCGTATTTTTTATGTTCTCCATTTGCCTGTAAGACTTAGTTTCTTTTTTTCAGTGTGTCTTGTTTTTTTTATGTGTCTCCTTCTCTTTTATTTGGCTGGGTTTTGTCGTCTTTGGTTCGTTGGATTCTTACGGTTTCCTCTGCTTTTTGATGATGGAGGCAACTTATTTAATGGTCTTGGGTTTTTTTTTTTATTCTTTTTAGGTCTTAGTAGTGTTGCCTGCATGTTTATATAAAACCATTTCTCCAAAACCACTACTTCAATTACAACTAATACAGTCGGAAGTCCTCCAATTACAAAATCAGTGCTGGTAATCTGGAGCTGTTTGATCTCAGTAGGAATGCTGCTGTTCTGCGACTTCTTGTTAGTGAAAATCAGTAATATGACAGCATCACAAAGAAAGAGCAACGTACAAGACATGCCATGGAGGGTTTGTATGATTATTAACTTAGCAAGGCATGCCTGGTCGCCTTACTGACATGCCACTTAGAAGAGCTTAAAGGTACAGTGGAGGATTTTCACAAATTTTTGAAAAGATCACTTTAAAAAAAAAAAAGAGCACAAATGCATCCCTGTTCCCCCTCCCAACAGGGAACGCCTAGTAAGCGTGTGCGAAGTGTGCACAAGGAGAAATGGCCTTGTGCACTTTTTAAAAGTTGCTTTTTGCATCATCTCATAAAAGCTCACTTTCCAAAAGAAGAAATGCAATTTTCCCATTATGTCAGACTCATCACCAGTAAGTGAAAATGGGGAGGAGCACGTAGGTTGGCCTTACGTAAACATATCACCAGATTGATTGACTGTTAGCAGGACCTTTTATTTTGATGATCGATCCAGAAAAAGAGCATCCTCCACTATTACTTTAATTCATGCAAGCAAACTGAGGTTCCTGGTAACTCTGGAGGAGCTACAGAGATCCACAGATCAGCGAGGAGAATCTGCTATAATCAGTTTTCTCTAAAGTGCACTTTTCTAATTTGAGTTTTATCAAAAAGTGGCAAAAAAAAGAAGCTTTGCTAAGATCAGCCCCAAACTTTATGGCCTACCCTGTGTATTTGACAACTAATGATTGATGGCTTTTCTTATTTACAATGAAATACTTTAAATTATCAAAGAAAACTGTTGATCACCACTTTTTTCAAATTTTATTGAACTTGGAGTTTTTTTGTAGACAAAAAAAATGCAAAGATGTTATTCTCTGTGCAAAGAAGCTTAAGAGTCGATGACCTTTTGCTGTAGATAAACTGGTAACTGATAAAAGCTAAATGCTACACTTTTCATTAAAAAAAGCAATTGAAAACCATGTGTTATTTTCCTCCCATATAAAAATCATAAAGTTGCATTTGCATCAAGTTCAAAAGGTGGAAAAAGGCGTATTAAAACTTTAGTAAGGCTCTGTATATAAAGTTTTTATATAATAGTTTCATTATGTTTTTACCCATGCAGCTGTGTGTCTTTCTTTGTCTCTCAAGGCTACAGAAACTGGAACAGGAGGTTATAGGAGGAGAGCAGGCCAGAAACAACGAGTTACAACAGAGACATCAGCAAAGGAAGAGGCTTGCTGATGAGAGGAAGGTCCAGCTCATCAACGCCTTATCTGAGGACAGTGAGGAGAGTGAAAACGTGCTACTGAATGTCTACAATTCAATCCAGGAGGAGGTTCATGCCAAAAACCAGAAACTGACCAAAGTCCAGCGTAAGGTGAGTGACAGCAGCTTCTAGACCCAAACTTTTAGAACCTATGGGAAATATAAAAGGCATAAAAACTGCAGCTCATTGGACAGTTGGTGTATTTTTAAAACAACTTTTAAAATATAAATTAGCATCACATATTTTAAAATGGGTGCAAAATAAAAGCAACAGCTAAAATGTTATAAAAATGCAGAAATTGCTCCTTTATTTTTGACGATCTTTCATAAACTTTCCAGCATCAAACCAAGATCCTATTGTTCTGTTCTAACAGCTAAAAGCAGCTAAACTGGAGATCAGCGATTTGCAGGCAGAGTTTGAGCTGGAGAGGAATGATTATTTGGCAAACATTCGCCGATTGGAGAGGGAAAGCCAGCTGCTGAACAGCCTGCTTGAGCGCATGGTGCCACTGGTACGCAGAGACTGTAACTACAGCAACCTGGACCGCGTGAAGAAAGAAGCTGTTTGGGACGAGGATAGCGCCTCCTGGAAGCTACCGGATGTGATGGTGCAGAAAACAACACTTCCTTCAGGTAAGGAATGTGATATGATGGCTTTTATTACAAATAGTTGTAAATTTAATAGAATTGCACTCTATCCAACTGTCGATTGCATTTAAAAATATATATATTTTGTTCTCTCTTTCTTTTTCTCTTTGTAGCAGTGGCTTCAAAGCCTTCCTCTGGCAGAGCTTCAGGTTCAGATCATTCAGAGTCATTTATGGTGTGTACATTCTATGGATAATCCTTGACATCAAAAGCACACTGTTAGTTAACATGAACACTATGACACATATGAATATGTTTTCATTACATCATGTCTTATAGCAGGTTGAAGAGGACAGATACAAGGAAATGTTGGATCGTAAAGACAGTGAGAATATGGCCAACAACTACTTTAAGTCAAAGAGAGCCAGTCTGCTGCTGGGCGCTGATGCTGCTAAAGGACACGGTGAGCCAATCATGGTGATTGGTAATCAAGACACCTAAAAAGATCAGAGAACTAAGCTGTTCTAATATAAATAAAACTTTGTTCTATTTTGCAACAGTTTAAAACTAAGGGCCTGATCTTTAAAGATTCCTAAAATAAAAAGTTAGAAGCCATGAAGATAGAGATAATGATGATAAATATTTAAAACAACATAACAGTAACAACAATGAGTATTAATTATTGTGCACTTTACATAAGTATCCATTACATTGCAAAATAACTTAAGCTTATAATGACTTATTACTTTAAGAGTCTTTACAGGCTCTTGAAACTCACTTTTAATATTCAATTTTATTTAATGCCACAGTATTTAATTTCTCTCGTTTTTCTTTTATTGCATAAAGAATTGCTTTGCTGCAAAACTCTGAGCCTGCCCACATCTTTTCCCCCACTAATCATTTTGTACCTTAAACTTAGACAAACTTTATTGTCATTTTGTATGCACATAGCGTATACAAAACGAAATTTCGTTGTGTACAGCGTGCAACAGTTGTAATGATATTGCAGTTGGAGTAGATAAACAATACGAACCAATATAAGGTGCAGCAGTGATCAGGATTTAAACAGTGTACGTAAAAAAAAAGAAAAAAAAAAAAAGAAACCAGTTTAGATAATGGTGCAGAAGGGCATAAATATGAAACCTTTTAGTGCAGTGCAAAAATAAATATTGTGCAAAATGCAGTAGAAACGTTGAGTTGTGTACTATTTAAAAAAGGATTATGAAAGTTCAGTAACATTGTTAGTGCAAAATAATGTGATGGAGAGTCCAGTTTAGAGTTCAGCAGTTAATCAGTCTGATGGCAGTGGGGAAAAATTAGTTGCAAAATCTGCTGGACCGGCAGCAGATGCTGCAAAGCCTCTTCCCAGAGGACAGCAGGGAGAACAGTACCTGATATGGAGATCTCCTCTCTCAGCTTCCATGTGTTTTAAAACATGCAAATCTTTGAAGTTTATGCCCTATAGGAGTCACAGATCAAATAAGGAGTGATTAATTGCTCATGTGGAAAAAACTGTGCTTGTGCTATATGTGGCTGCATCGTGGGTGATCTACAAAGATTGCTAACTGAAATGTCTGCCCTATTAAAACAAGCGGATTGTGTGTTCTACTAGTAGTTTGAGAGCAGCAAAAAACTAATTAAGCCATGTAATTGGAGGTAATGTAAATTATAATAATAAAAACAAAAATGATAACAATAAAAATTAATAATAGTGCAATTTACATAAGTATCACAAAGTTCTACAAAGAAATGTAAAAAAAAAAAAATAATAACACCGACAAACATTTGGATGCTCTGATCACTGAATTCCGCATACAAAAATGTTTGCAAAGAAACATGTTGTAAATACATGCAAACCTTTTAAATATCAGGGGGGTTGTTAATGAGTCCAAAATATTAACACTTTAGAAAATCAAATCTGTTTTTTCTGTCTATTATTTTTTCTATTTTTTTCTTATCCCCTGGTAAACACATTAGGCTACCGTTCTGTGAACGCTCCCAACATGACCCCCCCTCCCAGATCTGACCCCGTCCTGCCTCGGCCATTTCGCCTGGAGTCTCTGGAGGTTTCGGTGTCCAATGGGAAGACAAAGCGCAGGAAAAGCAAGCCTCACATCCATAGTGAAGGGCCATGAAAGGGCATGGTTAAAAATCGACTTCCAACCTCACCCAACAATCATCAAATGTGCATGAATGATGAATCAAAACATTTATTTCAGGCAGTCTATTACATTTTGTACAACGTTATGTGAGAATGTAGTTTATTGTCATTACTTAGAGGACTGATTTGCTCGGGTAAAATACTGTAGTGGTTTATCTGCACAGTGTAGCATGTGGAATTTAGTTAATAATTATTAAAAAAAACTATTAAAAGAAGCTGTCATTACAGAGACATTGTCAACAAGGTGTTGGTAGCTTTTTTTTTTTTAAATATTTTAATTTTTCATGTCAGTATGGACCAGATTTTGGTCCTCTTTGACCTGAGAAAATGTATTGGCTGAACATCATGATTTAAAATCACCACATCCCAGAGATCAGAATAGCTGTGGAAGCCATTTAAGCTGAGATTTTATTAGAACTTTAAAGAAACTGGTCTGAGAAAATCTCAACCTTGTGACGCATCATCCTGCTAGAGGTAGCCATCTGAAGATGTTTACTCTGTGGTCATGAAGAAACAGTAACAATGGTCGGGTAGCTGTGGTGTTTTAATGAAGCCCAGTTTTTTATTTAGGTACCAACTACAGTTAATATTTCCAGGGAATATCCAGGTTACATTTTTGCTGGTGTCAAATTGCATCAAGCCTGTTTGAATGTGGCCACAGGTTTCGCTAACAGGAGAGCTGCAACATGTGGACCACTGCTGCTGAAGCTCATCTGCCTCAAAGTTTCACATGTTGTGTGTTCAGGAATGGTATTCCTTCAGCATACTTTGGCTTTAGCGACTTGAGTTACTTTACCTTCTTATCATCTATAAACATCGGCGCTGTCTGTCTCTAGCTTTTGACTTCAAGAGCACAATTTTCTCCATATGATTGTTTATTTCCATTTTTACCAACATTACGTTTGAAAGTCCCAGTAGGTTCCTCAGCGCTTAGACTGGAATAACATGTTCAAAGTGATTGTAATCTTCGATTATTTTTGTCCCGATGTTCCATTTATCTAAATGCGTTTCTTTGTTGGATTGATCTTGGTGGATTTTCTGTTTGTGTTATTGCACAACTGAAATTATCTGTACCTAATAAAATATATTTTGCATATATTCAGTGGTGACAATTAACAAAGTACAAATACTTCATTACCTTACTTAAGTAGACATTTTTTCTGTCTACACTTTACTTGACTTAATTATTTTTTTAGACAACCTTTTACTTCTACTCCTTACATTAAAAAAAAAATCTCTTCTTTCTACTCCTTACATTTTAAAAATAGACTCATGAGGTTTGTATCATTTAAGCTCATTTTCGTCACGGTCTGTTGGTATTTAAAAAAATAAAAACATCAAAATAATTTGTTTTATAGAGAAAAAAAAAGTATTTCTTTGTGGTTGGACTCGTTCACCGAACACCAAAATAAGTAATTATTCAAGATGAAAGTTAAATTGACATTGTTGCCATTAATTATAAAACTAAGAAAATTAAGTTTAAGAAGTTATCATCCAGAACTGTAAAAAATGTCCCTGAATATGGTAATGCAGTAAGAATTGTTCCTGCATTACTTATACTTTTATATTTTAAGTACTTTTAATAATGGTACTTTTACTTGAGTAAAAAGCTTATGTTGATACTCAAATTTTTACAAACCTGTTTTTAAACAGTAGGATTTATCCTACTTGAGTAATTAATATTAATACTTTTGACACCTCTGTATATATATATATTGTATGTTACTACAGAGGGAACCTTTTTAATAAGCTGCTTATTTACTAATCTGTAAATCTATCAAGCCTCACATTTCCTTTGTAAAAGCTGTGTTTTTTAGTTTAAAATCACTAGAGTCAGATTTAATGTCTCTCTTTTAATCAGACATAAAAGAACCAAATACCAATTCACTATTATAATTTGAAAGTCATCCTGTAGCTTCACTTTTTCCATCATTCCAGTGAGATAAAAGTAAAAAGTTCCACGTGGGGGGTGTCAAGAAAACAGCTTATCTTTAGCACCACATAGGGTTATCCTCAAGATAATCGGATAACGGGAGAACAGCTGAGCAGGCTTTCTCCTCAGCTGAGTGGCATGTAAGATGAACAGTTTAGCTGATATGTTCAGTAATGAAAATGCAAAACGAAGTACTTCAGCTTCAGAGTGAAATAAAGGTCAAAGTGGGGGCCTGCAGGTTAGTGTAAGTTGGTAATATTACAAAGTCAAAAAGTCTTTATCTTAAGGCTGAAGAAAAACAAAGGCTGCAGGACTGAAACTGTGGCTGCTGGTTCTACCGTGTGGTCTTGTGCAAGGCGTCGTGCTGAAATAAGGCTTTCAAGGTGCAGTACATATTGTGCAAACTTTATTTTCAGTAGCATTAGTGAAAAAAGCTACAAAAAGTGATTAAACATTAACATTATTTCCTTTTTAACAGCAAGTAAACTTTTTAATTCACATCTGAACAACTCTGTATCACAATTACACATTTTTTTTAAATAATTAAACGTTTTAGATCGACCTCGCAGTTGATAAATTACTGCAAAATCATACTTAAAAAAAACACAAATAACAAATGACAACAGATTTACTCCAGGCACATCAGTGAAAAGTCAGTAATCAGTAATTGTGATTTTGGGCAAAGCCTCTTAGTGCACTTTAGGGCGGATTTTGTTTGTGATGTCTTAATGAGTGCCCAATCAAAATTAAAATTATGTAACAATCACGTTGACGTGTGTTGATTAGAGTAATATTGTCTTGAGAAAAATGTGTAGAAATGAATGGGTTTGTAATGTGTAAGGCCCATTTTTACCACATTTCAGAACATGAGGAAATGTTTCCGCTTATTTTACACTTTATTGGGCTGGCATCATTATTACATTTTATTAATTTATTCTCCAAAGTGCCATGTTTGAAGCTCCAATGCTAAATCCAAAACCTCTGATGTTGATGGTTGTTAGAAAACCCATCAAGTTAAAAACACTCATGCTGTATGCACGGCTCAGCTCTTAAGCAGACCGAGTTTTCTGAGAGCCTCTTCTCGATCAGATCCCATTCCAGGAACCACCATCGCGGTGTAGGCCACTGAGTCTCCGGGTGTGCCGGATGAAGGCTGGGAAGTGGTTTTCATTGGCTTCGCACAAGGAATGTGTTGGGCTTCAGGGTGCTTCCTGCTGTTTGAGTCGGGGTTCTGGTTAACAGAACGCTCCAAACCTTCAGTCTTCGACCCACTGGGCTGAGATTTAACGTGTAATAATAAAACAGGCTGCTGTTCTTCCTTGGATTGCCAATAGACACCCGTACTCTTCCTCAGAGGCCTGCTCTTGGGATCCGGTTGCTTTTGAGAGGAACTACTTTTTGGATCCGATGGATCTTTGGCTGTTTTTTTAGAGTGGGGTTTTGCATGAGGTGGTGCTCCATCCTTATGCTTGTGATCTTTCAGCAGACCAAGCCTCTGTAAAGCTTCCTGTCTCACAACATCTGGATTAGTTGCATGTTTGACCCTTTCTGACATGTCGGCTGTTATGGGTTCCTCATTTTGGACGATGTTGGCAGGTTTCTTTGGAGGTTTTGGGGGCACAGCAGGAGGATCTGTCTTAGACCTGTAAACCTCTGAGCCAGATTTGGTGGCATTTCCAAATTTTTGCCCTTCCATTGGTAGTGGACATTGTCTGTTCAAGTCTATAGTGTGATCAACTGATGGACATAAAGGTGTCTTCTTCTGGGAGGCATTTCTCCGCAAATGAACGAGTGCATCGTAAGACAGAGGTCCTCTTGGTAAAGGGCCTTCTGCTGGCTTAGCTGAGTTTTCCTTGCGTTGTGCGGAAGGCTGTACCACAGGTACTGGGGAGGTGGAACGTTTCTGGTTGTGACCAGGAGACAGTTTGTTGGATTTTGATTTCAACTGAGACTGAGAAGAAGCTGTAAGTGATTTTGTACTGGGAAGAGAACTCTGAGAACCGCTTGCCACAACAAAAGGCGTAGGAACAAGGTAGCTGTGCTTGTGTTTAGTGTCAATATTTTTCTTGATGGGTTGTTTATCTGGTTTCTCTGAACCTGGTGGGAAAACAAACGCAGGTTTTATGCAAATTTTCTTTTGCTAGAGTCAATTCTTGCGAATTAATCTAACATGTTGTCAGAGATGAACTCACCGTGCACATTGCTATTTCTCATAGACACAGACCGGTCTGAAAGTCTGGCTGCAAGGTTGCCAGTACCGGACAGTCGTTCAGGCTCATCATGGGAGACTCCACTATCATCTTCATTATCCAGAGACTCAATGGTTTCCTCCAAAAACATTAGACAGGCTTTTTCTTCAGCAGAAAGATGCTCTAGACTATCGTCACTCTAAAACACAAAAACAAAAAACCTCTCATAAAGAAACTACTGAAGAAATAACATACAGATAACATACCTCCATCTCAGAATAATAAGCAATAATGAGCCAAAAAAATCCTGTAGAATTATGGTTCCAGGTTTCTCTCCTTGAAACTGATTCCTCTTAATATTTCTATCTTCTTGAGAAATGAGTAGCAGAGCGTTTTTGGAACGTTTTTGGCGTTTGGAATCAAAGCTAAGATACTCACAAAGCCTGAATTTGCGCTGACAACGCTGTCGCAGCTTCCGGCACTCTCCATGCCGTTCATCGTCTCTGGTTCAGTGCCGCCTGGCCACGTATCACTTTTTGGCATTTTAGTCAGTGGCACACATTGTATTGTTAGCCTGTAGGAGGAAAGTAAATGAAAATAATAAACGAGACCAAATACAAATTGCATTATAGCCAATAACATTTAGTATCAAAGAGGGATCCATTCTGAAAATTTGTTGAAACATAAGATTATTCTGACTTTCTAAGATTCTGACTGAATGATATACAAGTACCCTAAGAGCTCTTTTGTTTTATTTTAATTTGTCTGCTAGTTTTTAACAAATGGACACCTTAAGACTAGTGCTGCACTGATGCAATTTTTTGTCCCCCATACCTGGCTGTGCAGTATTAGCCGATACCGATACCATCTGTTACCATTTGTATACACAGAGTGTATACAAAATGAAATTTCATACAGTAAATGGGTGGCTTAGCTGTGAAATTTACATTTGCATTCATTAAGTGCAGCAGTGATCGAATGTAAACAGTGTGGGAAAAAACATGGTGCAAAAGTCATTGGTATGGAAGTTCAGAGCATTGCAAGGACAAAAATTTATGGTGCAAAAATGTAGCAGAAAAACCTTATTGCGTTGAGTTCTACTTGGTATGATGTCATCAGTGTGATGCAGAGTCTTGATTTGTGTTTCTTTATTTAGAGTTCTTTTTTTTCAACAGATCAGCAGTCTGATGTGGAAGGTATAGTGGAGGATATGCGTACATTTTTTAAAAGCCCTCTCCACTTAAAAACTAAAATGCACATGCACTACCCTGTACCCGCTCTCGAGAGGGAACGCCTATTAAGCGCCTGATGAGAACATGCACAGGCCCATTTCTCCTCGTGCATGCTCTCTTTAAAAGTCGCTGTTTGCATTACTCATACAAACTTACTTTTCAAAAGAGAATTTGCAATTTTTCCACTATGTCAGACTCACCACCCGTAAGTGAAAATGGGGACGAGCACGTAGGACACCCTTACGTAAACGTATCACCAGAATGATTGACAATTAGGAGGACCACTTATTTTATCCACCAAGAACATCCTCCACTAAACCTTTAAGAATGTGTATTTTATTATGTAAATTTTAAAATTACACAAACACAGATTAAAGGTATGCAGTTTTCAGGCTCATCATGCTAAATTTGTTTGTGTAAATTAATATCATTTTCCCATGTATGCTAATTAAAAGTCACATAAGTCACACAAGAACGGTAAAAAGAGACTATAAGAGACAACAGCCTGCTCATGTTGTGCATTACAGCACACCTTTTCTCACTATCTTCCATTTAGACTGACATTCATTGTTTTCCTTCTCACCTGTAAAAATGTGTAATCATTGTCTAGGTGTCCAAATCCTGCTTTATTTACAACTGATTTAAGGATCTTGCAGAAAAAGCTAAGGAAGATATACTCTCTGGTTAAATATTGGCTACCACTAATTCATTCACTGCTTTATTGTCTTTTCTTTTCTGTAAATGGAATCATAAAAATTATTATCATTACCTGGAAGTGGAAAACTTTGAACATGGACTCATTAACAAAGAGGGTTGTAAAATAAAGCAGTAAAGACAAAGCAAATAAAGGCTACAGTTCTATGTAGAAAAGATTAATGATAAAAAATAAAATAAACGATAGATAACGAAGCCCAGAGGCACTTCTGCATTTGCATGAGTCTGAAAATAGCGGCTGGATTAAGGGGAAATTGGTGGGGAGACGGTGTTAAAGCAATTATGTAAAGAACATTTTTGCCTTCAGGTAATTGAAACGATTGATTTACCCCCTCTTTGTGCCGAAACAGCCATTTAAAACATCTCCTCCTAATGATTTATGATACAGTACTTCTTTTCTACACAAAACACACCTATATAAAGTTGAATTTATTTAGGATGTAGATGTATAAACACATATATTTAGCCATGGCTAAACCCCACTGTTGTGAACACAGAACCAATGAAAACAAAGCTAATCCAATAGGTCGTTAGTTACTCAACTGAAACCTTGCTTTAAATAATTGTAGAACAGTGAAAATGAAACATAAATATAAAAAAAAACACAACCCTGAGCTAACATAAAGAAGACCTCAGCTAGATATTGAGTATGATGATTGAGTGATATTACTTATAGGAGGAGAGCAATTATATTGGGTCTACTCTGGAGGTAATTTTGGTCTAACTTCATGCACATAGAAAACTGATTAGAAGATTGATCTTAAGAAAAAAAAATAAAACAAATGGTTACATAATCAAGCAATACCATTTATAATATGTGTGTTTTTATATATATATATATATATATATATATATATATATATATAGTCACAACTTTTGTAAATGTAATAGAGTTTAGTTTTTCTGTATCTAGTTTTATCATTCTTGGTTGAAGAAAAATTGTAACCTGTGAAGGCATGTGATTGTTATGCTTAAGACAAACAACAATCTTTCATAATTATTATCAAAATATGACATTATATGTTAGTCTAAAGAGGCATATGATTGGCAGACAATGCCCTTCCTGGTCTTACTGTAAACACTGCACAACTACTTGCTTTAGTGTTTCTTATTGATTTAACTTTAAACAAATAAGATGACTATAATAAAGCATTTGAGTAAAGTGAAGGTATATTCTTAAAGCTTAGTCAAACTCATAAAAGCTATTTCTATTACACTAAAACTAAAGTAATATAAAAAAAGCTTTTGAGTAAACTGAAGTTAGATTTTTTAAATTCTGTCAAACTCATAATATTTATTTCCTCTACTTAAAAACATTTACGTAATCGGTTACGAGTTTACAGTGCAGATTTCACTTAAAGCTGTTTTTCCATACCTTCATTAGAAAGTATGTTCTGTTAACCGGAAGTGACTCACACACACTGAAAAATTTCCAGCCATAACCATAAAACTCCTGATGGCAAAGACTGGCATGCTATCATCTCTTAGTGGTTGACAGATATCTGCTGTCCTACCCAATGCATGTGACCTGGATTACAGCACACATGGCACTCCTAATCTTCCTTTACTGGATCAGTTTCACAGGAAGGAGAGAGGCGGTAATGGGCTACTTAGAGCTATTCCATATGCATTTTACACGTTACCATTCTGATCCTTTATACTAAAAATTATAGATAGTAGAGTTTTTAAAAAAGATTGCATAAGGGGTACATCAGAGCACTATATTTTTAAGCAAAAAAATGTGCTTACTTATGCTGATGGGGTTTCAGGTGTAAGGGATCAGTATAGCCATTGTAAAAAAGCCAACAAACCTTTGGATTCACGGCAACACCCATGGCAACAGCGGCCGGACAAACCTGACCCAAGAAGGCATCACTGTATAAGGTTTGGTAGAACTGATTGAGCCCGATATCCAGAACCACTACATCCTCAATCCCATCAGTACTACTATAGAAATAACCCAAATGCATCGTGATAAAAAAAATAATTTACCCAACCTTTATCTTGATTTACACACATTTATTAGTGCACAGCCAATCCCACAAAACCAGGATATGCTGACCACGATAATGAGGCAGAAAGTAAAGCAATAAATTTAACTGCTATGAGAGAATTACATAACAAGCTAAATCATCCTTTTTTTGTTTTATCAAGGCAGCTATAGACCTCTATCCAGGCTTTAATTAGGGGCCAAGTTCATTTTGTGGACTGTTTTTCATTATGGTTCAACATTTAGAAAACATCCACTGAATATTGAAGTCTTTTGTCAAACCTTGATAAAGGTAAAAGTAAATGACCTATCACTTGTGATAAATGACAATTATTTTAGCTAAGCATGGATCAGTTGAAGTGATTTAAGACATTATAATCCAAATAATTTACCTGCTAAAATACATATATCTATGAGAAAAACAGGCTAAATCAATGATTAGGGAAGCCTACCTGTTTGGATCCTGGCGCAGCCCTCAGGTAGGACAGTCCTCCTCAGGCCGGCGTTCAACTGAGTGCCAGATAAGAGCCAGGATTCATGGATCTGAGGACACCTGCGTGGACTTTGAGCTCTAAGCTCTCAGCCAATCAGATAGCAGCACTTTCCTTAGTGCACGCAAGGCTGTTCTGTAAACAATGATCTGTGGTATTGTTCAAGGAAGATCATGCCAGCAGGCTTTTATACAAGGAGTTAATGAGTGCTAATACTGTTCAAGGGTTTAATAATAGGGGTAACTGTTGCCTCTTTTACACCTGAGCTTTGTTTTCTTTCTGTTACTTGAATCTGCTTGTTAAGCAGCTACAAGTTTGTAAGAAATTTGCAAATTAGAGCATCTGAAGAGTGTGATACGAGTACACTTAAGATTTGGTGAAAGAAATGTGTTATTTTTGCTTACCGTAGGTATAGTCTTTGAAAACACTATTTTTAAGAGAAGCTGAAAACATTTAATGTAATCTCAATGACTTCAAACAGAAAGTCTTCATATAGTTTTTGTTCAATGTAATATATTTAAAATTAGAAACAAAAGTATTTATTTTATCATTAAGAATAGAATGGATGGCAGAATAAAATTATTTTGTAGATTCATTACAGTGAGTGAAGTAAACCTTATGTTGATTTCTGCTCATTTTGATGACTATGGGTTACAAATAATGTAATGAAAACAGTTTCTCAATGAAAGCAATGAAACAAGTCCTAATGAAATGTATGTCCATTTACCGTTTATTGCATAGTCCACACTCTTGTTCTTTTGCACTAATCACGCAACACAGTATGGAGCCGATCAACCTGTCCATCCCAGGAAATCCCAGGTTATTTCGACACCTCTTGGCAATACCCTCTGTAAGGTTTCGGTCATGAAGGTTTTATGACCAATCAAACTCAACGATACCATGCTGGTTAGAACAGGAGCTGGTACTTTAGGTAGTATGTCATAACTAGAGATAGGTGGAGTACCAAACATTGTACTAAAGCAAAAGTAGCACTAACTCAATCCAAGAAATGACTCCAGTAAGAATAAAAAAATATTTTGTTAAAAGCTTACTCAAGTAATGAGTAACTCATTATATCTGATTTACTGTTAAAATTATGTAATAATACAGATTAAA